CCACAACCATAGGCATTGAAAATCAATGCAGCCTCACACAGACCTCCTGTTGGAACAAGAACCCACTGGGGAGTGAAGTGCCATTCTTTCTTCCTCACACCTATTACATGTCGAGAGAGACAGGAAGAAGTCAGACTTCCCTTCCCATCAGGCACCCATTCTGAAAGGAGATCTGAAAAGTAACTACAGAAAGAAAGACAGCCCTCTGAACATGAGGTCCAGCAGTGCCCCTAACCCACACTCACTACAGGGCCCCCCCCAGCCAGCTTCAAAGCCCCCCCCATGTTTTTCACCAGGCACACTTTCCTCCAAATGTCAATTCCCCCCCCCCCCCCCCCCCCCCCCCCCCCCCACCCCCCCCCTACTACTGCCTTTTTGCCTTTTCTTGTTTAAGAATGTGAACTACGATGAATGTGGTCTGCACATTGTAGACTGCTGCACGCTGTTGTATACCTTACATACAGCCAACCATGGAATCAGAATAATGTGTAGCGAGTACAAAGCCTGGAGTAGCAAGCAATTGTTCTTTGTAAGAGGAAATTTTAGCAGCAGGTTTTTGCTTTGACTGCTTCTGCCAGCACTGTACTGATTGAGTCTCTGTGGACATTATTTTTGGCTGTGTCAGTGCGGTAATGACACTGTATTTGTGGACCTTTTTGGTTGTCAGTAAAGATTCTTTTCTCTGAGGATGGTGTCACTGGTTGTGTCAGTGCTGCACTGATTATGTATCTGTTGACATGTGTTTGATGTGTCAGTGCGGTATTGATTACTTCTCTGTTGACATGCTTCTTGTTATATCCGTTCATTACTGATAGAGTCTTTGCTGACATGCTGCTAATTGTGTCAGTACAGTACTGATTGTATCTCCACTGACTTGGTTCTGGTGGTGTCAGCATAATACTTATTGGGGTTGATTTACTAAAACTAGAGAGTGCAAAATCTGGTGCAGCTCTGCACAGAACCAATCAGCTTCCAGCTTTTTATTTGTCAAAACGTTTGCTAAAAAAAGCTGTAGCCAAACACTGACTGGCTACCATGCACAACTGCAACAGATTTTCCATTCTTCAGTTTTCGTAAATCAACCCCACTGTGTGTCTTAAAGCGAAGTTCCACTAACACTGTAAAAAAAAAAAAAAAACAAAAAAAAAAAACCAAAAAAACACAGCCACTCACCTGTCCCATGATCCCGCGGTGTCTTCCCCGCAGCCTGTTTCACCAGCTGTCTGGTGTTCCAGGAGCCAGCATCTTCAGTGTGGGCACCCAGCTGTGACAGCTTGCGGCTTCATAGCCAAGAGCCCACTGTGCATGCGCGTGTAGCGCTGCGCTTCCTGAATGGCCCCGTAGTTTCCTGGAAACTGTCACGTGTCCCAGAAGACTACAGGGAGGGGGGGGTGTAGGACAACTTCCGCTTCGTGATCGCAGCAGAAGTGGGAGCAAGTACCTGTCAATCCCCTACCCCCCCCCCCCCCCCCAAACGTGCCAATCCTTAATGTGGAGCAGGGGACTAGTCTTTAAAGCGGAACTTACCTTTTGGGTGGAGCTCCGCTTTAACATTTCTGGATTGGCTGTTTCTTGGTGTGTCAGTTTGACACTCATTGTATCGGTTTGGGCCATGATGGTACCGACTGTTTCTCTGCTAACATTTTTGTGCTTGTGTTAGTACAGTACTACTTGTGTTTGCAAATGTTTCTGGTTATGTCAGTATAATATTTATGCAGTCTCTTGATGATGTTACAGACTAGGATTGCACCGATTTGGCTATGAATCAACTTCTGTAGGTATGGACATGATCCTGCCAATACTGTAAGTCTTGCTAAATAATTAAATTAATGGTGTGTGTGTGTGTGTGTGTGTGTGTGTGTGTGTGTGTGTGTGTGTGTGTGTGTGTTCAAAATAATAGTGTGTTGAAAAAAGTGAATAAAGCTTCACTGTCTTCACAGTGTACTGTGGCTTGAATTCAGTGTTTGGGGGTCGTCTGACAAACTGTCTCCGGCCACTAGACCCAAAAAGAACAATCTTACTTTCATCAGTCCACAAAATGTTGCGCCATTTCTCTTTAGGCCAGTCAATGTGCTCTTTGACAAATTGTAACCTCTTCAGCACATGTCTTTTTTTCAACATTGGGACTTTGCGGGGGCTTCTTGCAGATAGCTTGGCTTCACATAGGCGTCTTCTAATTGTGACAGTACTCACAGGTAACGTTAGACCTTCTTTGATCTTCCTGGAGCTGATTGTTGGCTGAGTCCTTGCCATTTTGGCTATTCTATCCATTCGAATGGTAGTTTTTCGCTTTTTTACACGTTTTTCAGGTTTTGGTTGCCATTTTAAAGCATTTGCGATCATTTTAGCTGAGCAGCCTATGTTTTCCTCTCTCCAATCAACTTTTTAATCAAGGTACGCTGTTCTTCTGAACAATGTCTGGAACGACCCATTTTCCTCAATTTCAGAGAGAAATGCACTGTAACCAGCATGTAAAACATTTGCTGCCCTCCTTCCTTAAATAAGGGCAATAATTGCCACCTGTTTTTCAAAGAATGAATGACCTCACTAATAGAACTCCACACTGCTATTATTTTGAACATGCCCCTTTCAATTACACAGAATCCGTAGCATGCATGTCATGACTGTTGGGTCTGTTGGATTTCTATTACTCTACTACACCTGCTAGTAAATTATTTGCCATGTAGAAATATTTCTACCAAAAACAGTGATTGATCAGGTTAGTGATGTCTGACTGCTATTATTTTGAACACAACTGTATGTGTGTATGGGTTGGGACAGGTTGGCACAAAGTGACAAACCTAGGGGGAGAAAAAAATAAAAAATAATACAGTCATCGACAGGGGCAACAACAGGATGTTCTACGAAAAACCCCCCAAAAAAAAAAAAAAAAAAAAAAAAAAAACAAAGACAAAAGCTATTTGGTAAATGAGAAAACAGGTCTGAGGTTCACAAATGCAACCTGGCAGGTCAAGGTGCAAATATCTTGGACTACACCGCAGCGCTGAGCATCATCCAGAAGATGACAGGGGCAAGAAAAATCGTACAGCAGGGGTGAATACTGCAAGAGGTACACAGCTGGGAAATGATCATCACACGTAGCAAGGAGCCATCTTACAAGGTTCATATGTGTCTAAACAATGAAGTGATTGTAAAGGCTTTTTTGTTTTGCACAGATCGGCCCCAAACCCCCTCTTCTGGGTATCCCTGCGGGGCTCTTGGCTCCTCCTCCTCTCAGAGTGTCCGATCCTGAGCCAGGCTATAGACACAATCAGCATGGCTCAGTCCCACCCCCCCTGCTCCCTCCTCACAGACTTTGACTGGCAGTAGCAGGAGCCAATGGCTCCCACTGCTGCCTAGTCTCCTGTGAGAGTGAGCAGGGAAAAGCTGCTGCAAAAAAGGCACAGTGCTGGATTGAGATCAGGCTCAGGTAAGTGTTTGAGGGGGGGGGGGGGGGGGGGGGGTTGAGAGGACCAAGATTTTTTACCTTTACAACCATTTTTTTTTTGTTTTTACAGACAAACCTTACATGTAAATTGCGCTCATGTGACTGATATATACCTTTAAATTATGAGCCTGATTTTAAAATGGGATCATGATTTTAGTATGTTCCTTGACTACAATTCAGCTTTGGTTAGACACTAGTGGGTTAAGTTATATCCAAGTTTCCCTTCCCACTATATTGAGGCATATTTATTCATGTAATTCAGAAATATAAATTCTAGTGCAATAAATTATTGATCAGTTGCTCCATACCAATATGATATCGCTCTTAAATAATTGATCGTAGAAAGTATCTCAAGGTCAGTTTACTTGGAAAATACCTTTGCACATTCACCTTCTCGTATAAAACCCTTTTTTGGTCTGGCAAATCATTGCAGAGACAGAAGAGCTATAAAATCTATTTTAAGGAGAAGAAATGCTGCTTCATACGTTAAAGCTTCAGGAATAAACATTCATGCATAATTAATGGTTATTACTAATCTGAATTTTTAGGTCATGTATGCATTCAGTTTGAAAGACAATCATTAAAAAAAAAAAAAAAAAAAGAAGAAGTAGTATATATACACATCCACTGGGATGCCATTAACGTTCGTGTAAAGGTAGGGATCCAATACAGTATCTATCTCCCCTCCAAATCATTGGATTCAGGTGTATAAAATCAAGCAGACTGCTTCTACAAACCATTTGTGAAAGAATGGGTCGCTCTCAGGACGCACACACACACACAAAAATATCTATCTAGTGTAGGCCAAAGAAGTTCCTTCATCCCAAACTCGCTCAACCATGTCTTTATGGACCTTGCTTTATGCACTGGTGCGCAATCATCTTGAAACAGGAAGGAGCTATACCCAAATTGGTCCCACAAAGTTGGGAGCATGAAATAGTCCATAAAGTCTTGGTATGCTGAAAACTTAAAAGAGTTCCCTTCACTGGAACTAAGAGGCCAAGCCCAACCCCTGAAAAAAAAACTCTACACCATAACGGCTCCCTCCACCAAACTTTACACTTGGCACAATGCAGTCAGGCAAGTACCGTTCTCCTGGCAATTGCCAAACCTAGACACGTCAATTGGATTGCCAGACAGAAGCGTGATTGGTCACTCCAGAGAACACGACTCCACTGCTCTAGAGTCCAGTGGTGGCGTGCTTTTACATTTGCATTGTACTTGGTGATGTAAGGCCTGGATGCAGCTGCTTCGCCATGGAAACCCATTTTATGAAGCCCTCTATGCGGGGTTGTTGTGCTAATCTGAAGGCCACACAAAGTTTGGAGATCTTTGGAGGTCTTTAGCTATTGAACTGCAGACAGTTTGTGACTTCTGCTCACTGTGCGCTACATGATGCACTGACTCCGCTCCATTTTACATGGTCTACCACTTTGTGGCTGAATTGCTGTTCCCAGTTGCTTCTACTTTGTTCTAATACCATTAACAGTTGGCCGTGGAATATTTAGTAGCAAGGAAATTTCATGGATGGACTTATTGCACAGGTGCCAACCTATCATGGTACCACGCTTGAATTCACTGAGCTCCTGAGAGCGACCCATTCTTTCACAAATGTTTGTAGAAGCAGTCTGCATGCCTAGGTGCTTTTGATACACCTGTGGAATTACAGCTCTTAAAGAGCAGACAACCCCCCCTTTTTCAAGGGACCAAAAGTAATTAGACAAATGAACCCGAATCATAAATAAAATGTTCATTTTTAATATTTTTTTGAGAATCCTTTACTGGCAATGACTGCCTGAAGTCTGGAACCCATGGACATTACCAAAGACTGAGTTTCCTCCTGATGCTTTGCCATGCTCTGACTGCAGCTGTTTTCAGTTGTTCTTTGTTTGTGGGTCTGCCTTTAGTCTTACCTTCAACAAAGTGAAATGCATGCTCAATTGGGTTTAGATCAGGTTATCGACTTGGCCATTGCAGAATATTCCACTTTTCCTTCAAAAGCTCCTGGGTTGCTTCAGCAGTGTGTTCTGGATCATTGTCCAGCTGTACTGTGAAGCGCCGTCCAATCAACTCTAAACACTGCAGAAAACATCCGGCTGCTTCTGTCTCATCATCAATTAAGACCAATGACCCAGTGCCACTGGAAGCCATGCATGCTCATGCCATCACACTGCCTCTATCATGTTTTACAGATGACACTGTGTGCTTTGGATCATGAGCTGTTTCACGCCTTCTCCACACTTTTCTTCCCGTCATTCTGGTTCAGACTGATCTTGGTTTCATCCGTCCAAAGAATGCTTTTCCAGAACTGGTCTGGCTTTTTTTTTTTTTTCTTTAAAAAAAAATGTTTTTTGGCAAAGTCTAATCTGGCTTTTCCTTTTCTTCAGGCTTATGAATGGTTTGCACCTTGTGGTGAACCCTCTGTATTTGCTCTCGTGAAGTCTTCTCTTGATTGTAGACTTTGACAATGATACACCCACCTCCTGGAGAGTGTCTTGCACTTGTCTGGATGTTGTGAATGGGTTTTTCTTCACCATAAAAAGGGGGATCCTGAGATCATCCACCACTGTTATCTTCCGTGGACATCCATGCCTTTTTATGTTGCTGAGCTCACCAGCGTGTTCTTTCCTCAGAATGTACCAAACTGTTGATTTGGCCACTCCTAATGTTGCTGCTATCTCTCTGAAGGATTGGTTTCATTTTTTTAAAGCCTTATAATGGCCTGTTTCACTTGCATGGACAGCTCCTTTGAACACATGATGTAGGTTCACAGTAATTGATTCTAAGTGCAAATACGGAGTAGCCCCCACCTGGCCATAAAACAGCTTTTGATTCAATTGTCCAATTACTTTTGGTCTTTTGAAAAAGGGGGGGGGTGGCTACTCTTAAGAGCTGTCATTCCTAAACCCTTCCTCCAATTTGGATGTACATACCCTCAAATGAAACTTGAGTGTACACACCTTCAGCCTATATCTATTATATAACTATAGCTTGAATAAGTTTTGGGAAATACCTGAAAAAAAAAATAAAAGGAATTTTTTTACATTTAGTTGTAGATTTCTTTTATATATATATATATATAAGATATATATATATATATTTTAATATATATGTATATTTTAGTTGTTACTACCATAACCAACCATCAAAAAAACCCAAAATAATTTCTCCTGCCCTCGACAATCGCAGCGATACCCAATTTGTGTATGTAAGTTGTTTGTACCTGTAGTACGGCCCAGAAACAAGCGAGCATTTTGCCTCTTTTTTTTCCTGCCACTAACTGATACTGTTTGGGTCAAGGCCCTGACCCTTGACCCAAACACTAACCCTGGCACTGACCTAGATCAGACCTTGATCTAGATATTTCTATTTATTTTTTACAAACTATTTTTTCTCTCTGAAAAGGACAGAGAGATACAATGCATCTCTCTCCTCCATTCAGAAAGAGAAAACAAGGAGGCGGGCTTCATAGTGACTAATCACTTTGATATCCAATCGGAGGCTTTCACAGCGATCATGTGACCCGAAAATCAGGGAGTTCTGGGTCCCAATCATTAGAACGGGACTCGAGGCTTTCACTGACACCCTGGTGGATTTTGAGATCTGTAAAGAGTGGACCAAAATCCCTCCTTAGATGTGTGCAAACCTGCTAACCAACTACAAGAAATGTCTTACCTCTCCGCTTGTCAACAAAGATTTCTCCACCAAGTCATATTTTGCTTGGGGATCAAATATTTATAAATTGAGTTGCAGTTCAGTGAGTAAAATAACATTTGTATTATGTATTTATGGATGATATTCTGTCTATCATTCAAAATACACCTATGATAAAAATTGTTTTCAACATTTTTTACAAATAAATATCTGAAAAGTGGGGTGCATTTGTATGTAGCCCCCTTTACTCGGATACCCCTTACGAAAATCTAGTGGAACCAACCGCCTTCAGACGTCACCTAATTAGTAAATATTGTCCACCTGTGTGTAATTTAATCTCAGTATAAATACGGCTGTTCTGTGAAGCCCTCACAGGTTTGTTAGAGAACATTCGTGAACAAACAGCATCATGAAGGCCAAGGAACACACCGGACAGGTCAGATAAAGCTGTGGAGAAGTTTAAAGTAAGTTATAAAAAAAAAATCCCAAGTTTTGAACATCTCATGGAGCACTGTTCAATCCATCATCCCAAAAATGGAAAGCGTATGGCACAACTGCAAACCTACCAAGATTTGGCCATCTACCTAAACTGACGGTCCGGGTAAGGAGAGCATTCATCAGAGAAGCAGCCAAGAGGCCCATGGGAACTCTGGAGGAGCTGCAGAGATCCACAGCTCAGGTGGGAGAATCTGTCCACAGGACAACGATTAGTTGTGAACTCCACAAATCTGGTATTTATGGAAGAGTGGCAAGAAGAAAGCCATAAGAAATCCCGTTTGCAATTTGCAAGAAGCCATGTAGGGGACACAACAAACATGTGGAAGAAGGTGCTCTGGTCAGATGAGGCCAAAATTGAACTTTTTGGCCTAAAAGCTAAAACCGCTATGTGTGGAAGAAAACTAAACACTGCACATAACTCTGAACACACCATCCCCACCATGAAAAATGGTGGTGGCAGCATCATGTTGTGGGGATGCTTTTCTTCAGCAGGGACAGGGAAGCTGGTCAAAGTTGATGGGAAGATGGATGGAGCCAAATACAGGGCAATGTTAGAAGAAAGCCTGTTAGTCTGCAAAAGACTTGAGACTGGGGCGGAGGTTCACCTTCCAGCAAGACAATGACCCTAAACAAACAGCCAGAGTTACAATGGAATGTTTCAGATCAAAGCATATTCATATGTTAGAATGGCCAAGTCAAAGTTCCTAAATCCAATTGAACAGCAATTTTCAAGTCTTTCCACAGATTCTCAGACGTTCTCCATCCAATTTAACACAGCTTGAGCTATTTTGCAAAGAATAATGGGCAAAAATTTCACTCGAGATGTGCAAAGCTGGTAGAGACATCCCCAAAAAGAGGACTGAATTCAAGGACACCCCGAAAATCAAAGTTAAAAAAATGCAGAAGGCTAGTCCATTTTGCTGAAAATTAATTGCAGCAACTCAAAAATGGTACTCCATAATTTGTATGGCCCCCACAAGCTTGCATGCATGCCTGACAACGTCAAGGCATGCTCCCAATGAGACAACGGATGGTGTCCTGGGGTATTTCCTCCCAGATCTGGATCAAGGCATCACTGAGCTCCTAGACAGTCTAAGGTGCAACCCAGCGTCAGATGGACCGAAACATGATATACTAGATTGTAAGCTCCAATGAGCAGGGCCCTCTGTTTCCTCTGGCGCCAAATGGTATTGTAACTGTAATGTCCACCTTATATTTGTAAAGTGCTGCGCAAACTGTTGGCGTTAAATAAATCCTATATAATAATATCCCAGAGGTGATCTATTGGATTTTAGGTCAGAAGAGCCTGGGGGTTATTCAATAGTATCAATTCCCCCACAACATGAGGCCGGGCATAGTCCTGCACCAGCCAGAACCCAGGACCCACTGCACCAGAGTAGAATCTGACAATGGGTCCAAGGATTTCATCCCGATACCTAATGGCAGTCAGGGCGCCATTGTCTAGCCGTAGAGGTCTGTGCATCCCTCCATGGATATGCCTTACCAGACCATCACTGACCCACCACCAAAACGGTCATGCTGAATGATGTTACAGGCAGCATAACGTTCTCCATGGCTTCTCCGGACCCTTTCACGTCTGTCACATGTGGTCAGGGTGAACCTGCGCTCATCTGTGAAACGCACATGGCGCCAGTGGCGGATCTGCCAATTCTCGTGTTCAACAGCCAATGCCAATCGAGCTTTATGGTGCTGGGCAGTGAGCACAGGGCCTACTAGAGGATGTCGGGCCCTCAGGCAACCCTCATGAAGTCTGTTTCTGATTATTTGGTCAGAGACATTCACACCAGTGACCTGCTGAAGGTCATTTTGTAGGACTTATACTGTTGCAGTGCTCATACTGTTCCTTCTTGCACAAAGCAGCAGATACCGGTCCTGCTGATGGGTTAAGGACCTTCTACAGCCCTGTCCAGATCTCCTAGAGCAACTGCCTGTCTCCTGGAATCTCCTCCATGCTCTTGAGACTGTGCTGGGAGACACAGCAAACCTTCTGGCAATGGCACATATTGATGTGCCATCATGAAGGAGTTGGACTGCCTGTGCAACCTCTGTAGGGTCCAGGTATCGCCTCATGCTGCCAGTAGTGACACTGACCCTAGCCAAATGCAAAACTAGTGAAAAACAGTCAGAAAAGATGAGTAGGGAAAAAAAAAATGTCAGTGGCTTCAACCTGTAAAACCATTCCTGTTTTGGGGGTCATCTCACTGTTGCCCATCTACTGCACCTGTTAATTTCATAAACACTAAAGCAGCTGAAACTGATTAACATCCCCTTCTGCTACTTAACTGACCAGATCAATATCCCAGGAGCTTCACTGACTTGATGCTATACTCCGATTTAAAAAAAAAAAAAAAAAAAAAAAAAAAAAAAAGTGTTCCTTTAATTTTTTTGAGCAGTGTACATTTGGTTGTAACATGACAAAGCAAGGAAAATTTCAAGGAGTGTGAATACTTTTTCAAGGCAC